CTTTTAAAATGCAGGCATATGTCCTCGGGATTTCCTGGGGCTGATTACAGGTTTAAAAAAAAAAAATCCATTGTTGGCCTGGTGCAGTGGCTCATGCCTGAAATCCCAGCACATTGGGAAGCTGAGAGGAGGGGGATCACTTGAGGTCAGGAGTTTGAGGCCAGCCTAGACAACGTGGTGAAACCCTGACTCTACTGAAAATACAAAAATTAGCCGGGTGGCACACACCTGTAATCCTAGCTACTTGGGAGGCTGAGGCAGGAGAATCGGTTGAACCCGGGAGGCGGAGCTTGCAGTGAGCGGAGATCATACCACTGCACTCCAGCCTGGGCGACAGAGTGAGACTCTGACTCAAAAAAAAAAAAAAAAAAAAAAAATTCCATTGCAATACCTAAGCATTGGGAGATGTTGTATAATTTCTACATTCTAGACCCTCAGTTGCTGCAGGGAAACCACTGACTGGAGCTGAGCAAGCACTAGTCCTCTGGGCAAGTCATGTGCTCTGCAGCTGGCTACATCTGTGCTATTACATTACCCTGGCCTCTGCGGTCCCTTGAAGTTGAGGCCCTCACCTGGGCTTTTGAAAACAAAGCCTTTTTGATACTGCAGTGTGGCCTCAAACTCAAAAACTGTTAGTCCACTCGAAGGCAAGGATGTCTCAAACTTAAGTAGTCCAGGCCCAGCCACTCTTTGTAGGTGTATGCAAGGTAGTGGGGGTGGAGGCGACAGCGACAGAAACAATTACTTTTCATTCTTGCCAATGAATCTAGCAGCAAATAAGCAGGACGCAGACTGAACTCTCCATAACCCATACCTATCTATTTAGCAGTGATTTAATTCAGCCTAATGATGTGTCATTTTTAAGAAGGATATTAATAACTAACATTCATTTGAGCCTTACCAGGTTCCCAGTCCTGGATAAAGTACCTTATAAATATTATCTTGTTTAATTCTTTAGAAACTGCTCCTAAAATCAAACGGCCCAGAGGCCAAGAGGAGGGGATGTGGGTGAACACAGAACACTGCAGCTGATGATGCAGCTTAAAAGCAGAAGGGAGGGAGGTGCACCCCGAGGCTGTCAAGCTCCCAGACTGGCCCCAGGGCTCTGCAACAGGCTCCAGGTGTGTAGAGGGGGGGCCAGGCCTGTGATACCGCGTGAAGGACTCAGTAGGTCCGGTGGAGGGGTGGCCTCTCCCCCGTTGGTTGGCTCCATTGCTATTTCTGTCTCCTCGTTCTCGGTCCCTCCAGGCCGCTCCCTCTCCATCTGTCCTGATCGCCAGCCTCTCCCCCGCTCCTCTCTGCTGCGGTCGGCCCACCTGGAGCACTCCCCGCCGTCATGTGACCTGTGCGTAAATCACAGGACTCTTACCACCCCAGCGCCGGGCCGCACCAGGCTCTGCAGAGGCTGCAGGCCGCGCATGCGCAGCTGCGGGCGCACCTGCACGCCCGCTGGCTGGTGCCGCCGACCATCCCTGTGCATCCTGCGGCTGCTACCCCGGCTGGCCCTGGCGCTGGGCCCGGGCCGCGGGGGCGGACCCGCCTGGGTCCAAACTCCCGAGGGTGCTGATTCTCTTTGCCGATACTCTCCAACGAGCTGTCCACACAGCCAAACCTTACCTTAGGTCTGGGCGCTGGACGTTCTCCCCTGGTCATTAGGAAGTCAGAGCGTGAGTCCTGGCTTAGCAGTTAGAGCTGTGTGACCTTGGACAAGTGACTTGATCTCTCTGCGCCCCAGGAACGTGGAGATAATAATAGCACAAACCTCATAGGGCAGTAGTGAGAATCCAGTGAAAATTCAAGAGAGCTTTTTTTGCACAGTGCCTGGCATGTATCAAACTCCCAGTAAATGCAAATAAAGAATACAGAGCAAAGAGTAGTATTGTGTGATAGTTGAGGGAGTATTTTACCCTTTCTTTCTTTCTTTCTTTCTTTCTTTTTTTTTTTTTTGTTTTGTAGCCCAGGTTGGAGTGCAGTGGCGCCATCTCGGCTCACTGCAAGTTCCGCCTCCCGGGTTCACGCCATTCTCCTGCCTCAGCCTCCCTAGCAGCTGGGACTATAGGCGCCCGCCACCACGCCCGGCTACTTTTTTGTGTTTTAGTAGAGACGGGGTTTCACTGTGTTAGACAGGATGGTCTCGATCTCCTGACTTCGTGATCTGCCCGCCTCAGCCTCCCAAAGTGCTGGGATTACAGGCGTGAGCCACCGCGCCCAGCCCTATTTTGCCCTTTCAAGTGGATCATTTTGCTGGCTGGGAGTCACCCTGGGAGACAGGCCTGGAAGTTTTATTTGTCCCCGTTTCACAGATGGGGAAACCAAGGCTCAAAGATGTCAAGAGGTCTCCAACCAGGTCTTGGGTGCCAAATCAGCGCTCCCAACCTGAATTCCTGGGTGAATTCACAGTCTGTCAGCCCGCTCTATCTTTCAATCATGCTACTTTAAAAAAACATCCGTTCTGATTTTTGTCATCCCCAGTGAACATCTCAGGTACACATCTGCAGGAAAGGCTTTTTTTTTTTTTTTTTTTTTGTCCTTCCTTCTACAGAAAATAAGAAGCTACTATATTTTATTGGCTGTGACCTTTGAGAAAGTCCCTGCACACGGATCCCAGGCCACTAAGAAGTCCTGGATCCCTGCATCCAGGCCTACCCCTGGGGGCTCTTCCTCCCACCCTACCCCTCAGGCTTTCTCCTCTCTAGTCCTGATGCCCCTTCTCTGGTCCTGGAAGAGCCAAACTCCTTTCTGCCACTGGGTCTTTGCACCTACCGTATATCTGCCTAGACACTCTCCCAGGCCCCTCTTACCACCGTTTTCCCATCTCAAGAAGCCAGCTCTGATTTTACCCCAGCCAGTCCACTGGGCAAGGTGCCCTGCTATCCACTCTCACAGTCCCTTCTCCATCTGCTTCAGCACTTGTCAGAACAGTTACTCAATGTCAGAACAGTTACTCAATGCTGTAACACCTTGTTTCCTGTCTGTCACCTCGGCTAGAATACCAGCTTCTCGAGGGCAGAAGTTGTCTCCTTCTTACCCACACCACATGGCCCAGACCTTGGCCGCACTCAGTAAACACTTCTTGACCCACCAACTGGATGAGTGACAAGAGGAGCCCTTGGCCATTCCTACTCCTTAGCTGCTAAGGAATTTTCCAGCTTCGAATTTATATTTTCATGGCAGATGCAGACACCGTGGAGTCTCTGCTGATACGTGCCAGCTGGTGAAGGAGGAAGCATGTGGCATTACCAGTGCATCCTAGGTCCCCCCACATTTACACACAATCTCCTCCTCCAAATGTGCCCAGGGGCTATCAATATGTTTCCTGGGCAAAGGGCAAGGCCCAGACATAGAGAGTTGACACACTAACACCTTATCTCTCTCTGAATCCATCAGAAGGTTCTGTTGGGGGTAGTTTGAGGTGGTGGTGAGAAGATGGTCAGATCTGCTTGTCCTGGGGCTGGTGACTGAAGTAGGACATGTGACCTCTTGTCCTGGTTCAGCTTCTGTGACTTTGGAAAATTCCTCCTTAGTCCTCAGCAGTTTTTTTTTTTTTCTTCTCGGTATAAAATAATGGTTCAGAATTCAGATTCTAGAATTGGATCTTTCCTTTGTCATTTACTAATAAAGCACTTATCCACTCTGAATCTCAACTCCTTATCTGTAAAATATTATTACACATCTTAATAATGTGAAGATTAAAAACCTAGCTCAAATGTATTCCAAATATTTAATGAATATTCACTGGTTTTTACTACTACTAGCTCTCTTTTTAAAATTTTTTTTAATTGGCTCAATTTGTGTTACTTTGAAGCCAAAAGTAAGCCCTGCCCATATTTCAAAAACAGTATCTGAGACCAGTCTGGCTAACATAGTGAAACCCCGTCTCTACTAAAAATACAAAAAATTGGCCGGGCGGTGGTGGCAGGCGCCTGTAATCCCAGCTACTCGGAGGCTGAGGCAGGAGAATCGCTTGAACCTGGGAGGCGGAGGTTGCAGTGAGCCAAGATCATGCCACTGTACTCCAGCCTGGGCGATAGTGCGAGACTGTCTCAAAAAAAGAAAAAAGAAAAAAGAAAAAAGAAAAGAAAAGTAGTATCTCCTATTAACAAAGAAAGTCGAGCAAAAACTGACCTGGGACCGCTTTAGTAAATATGGACTCCAGGAAGGAGATACTGAGACCAGAGTCGGTCCCACAGTATATTCGTATCAGATTTGGGGCTTAGAAACTTCTAAACTCTGAGCGCCCTATAAGCAGGATGAGATTCTGCCTTGTACTTGGTTGTGGCTCCAGCGAACAGAATAACGGCTTACACGTAAAAGAGACAGAATACTGAACATTAGCTATCGGATGCTATGCTGCCTGAAGGTAAGTCTAGTGCTATTTCCAGTATCTCGGCGCCTTGGTTTTTACATCGGAAAATGGAGATTAAAAATAATGCCCATAGGTATGAGCTAAGAGGAATATAAACAAAACAAAACAAAAAGCAACGCCCAATGATTGGAGGATTTGATGAGATGATGCCCGTGAGGTGCTTGGCACGGAGTTTGACACAAGAACTCAGTGTTGGTGGATGCACGGATGCAGGTGCCCAGCGAGAGGGAGGTATTGTGGGTGGATTCATCCTGGCTTCGCTGCGGCTGGGAGTGGGCGCTGCTAGTAAGAGATCTCGCCTCCAAGCTCTTTCCGTGGGCAGGGAAAAAACAGAAGCTCCAAGAAAGAGGAAAGACAGGACCCGAGCGGGGTTTCAGGCAGATGGAGCGCGTCGGTAGCCTGTGGCCAGGGATCCCAGCAAGGAGGGGAAAGAGGAGGCCTGGGTACCCCGCGCCCCGGGCGCGCGCGGCGCGTGAGGTGAGGGGGAGGGCGCGGCTCCGCACCAGCCAGCTGCCACCTCGCGCCCAGCCGCATCTCGGGGGGCGGGGCTGTCCCCGGGCCGCAGTGCGATTGGCGGAGGCGAGTGGGTGACGCCGACGGCCGAAGCGAGGCCCCGCCCCCGGCTTGCCCCGCCCCCGCGCGCGCCGGCGGCCGGGCAGCCTCGCTCTGGCTCGCGTCGCGCCCCCGCGCCCAGTCCGCGCGTCAGTCGGTCCCTAGCGCGGCTGCGGGGTGGAGAGCTGCGACCGGCCCAGCGCGCCCACCTGAGGAGGCGGCGGGGTCCGCAGGCGTCGCGGGAGGAGGAGATCGGAGCCGGGATACTCGCGCAGCGCCATGGCCCCCATTGGCCTCAAAGCTGTGGTTGGAGAGAGTAAGTGGAGCCGGGGTCCTTCCAGCAGGCGGGGACTGCGGCTCCCGAGGAGCCCCGCGCGGCCCCTGCCCGCAGCGCCCAGGCCTCCAAGCGGGCTGCCCGCCCTGCGCCCCCGACCCGAGGCTCCTGGCCCGCGGGGTCCCGTTATTCAGGCGCCGTCCGCGCGAGAGGAAGGCTTCCCCCGCTCTCCCCTCCCTCACTTCACGTTTCACCCCAAGCCTCCCCCTGCAGCCCGCCCTCCTCCCCTCCCATCCTCCTTCCTCGCCGTCCCTGTCTTCCCTTTTCCCTGCATCCTCCTTCCCCTCCATCCCTCCCTCCCGCTCTTCCCTTCACCCTCATTTCTCTACCCTCGCCCCATCCTTCCCCCTTCCCCCACCCCTACCCTACCTAACCCCACCTCTCTCCATCCCGCCTCTCCCCATCCCACCCCCTTCCCCCTCTGTCACCCCCAACACGCGTCCCTCTCCTTCATCTCGCCTCTACCCCCTGCAGCCCGTCATCCTCCCCCGCACCCCCATCCTCACCCCCGTTACCTTCCCCTCAGTCCCCTCTCCCCTTCCTCGTCTTTATTCCCTGAGCGCCCAGACTCCGCTCCCGTTTCCTGCAGTCCCTCCTCCTCCCCACCCTCCTGGGTGAGTCGTGACGGGCGAGATCCCGGCCTGCGTCCTCCTCCCCCGCCCCGGGCCGCGCCGCGGTCCCTGCCTGCGGGACCCACCTGGGAGACTGGGCCGTCCCCGGCCTGGGGAGGAGACGCCTGTTTTCCGGAGACTGAGCTCTGCTGGGCCGGGGCCACTTCACTCCTCCCCTTCCCGGGGCTTGGCTTCCAGGGTGGGGACTTATCAGGGTCCTGAACCCCTGAAACCACTCGGGAGATGAGGAGAGCTTCGGTGTCCGCCGCCCAGCGCCGCAGTCTGCAATCTCCCTGTTTGCGGGGCTCGGCCCTGCAGTAGCCGAACGTTTCAGGAGCTCAGACCACGGTGGCAGGGAGGAAACGGTTGTTTATGGGTTTGGATGAAAGGCACCACATGAATGGATTTTTAAAAATGGGTGGCGGCGAGTGGTGGCCGCAGCGGAGCGAGGGCTGATGGTGGATGACATTTACAAAACGGCGTCCTCAGTAGTAAATAAGATTGGTGATATGTGTGGAAAAACAGTCCCTTGTCGATAATTTGTCCATTTCTTTATGGCAAAAAAATGTGTAAGGATTGCTGTGGCTTTTGCTGTCTCTTTGGGGATTAAGTGAAGATTAAAACTGGGCTTTTCTCTGTAGGAGAGGATAAGAAAGGAAAAAGAATAAAATGGTGGAAATTGAGTTTCCTTTCCAATGATTCTCTCCTATCATAGCGCTCGCTGTCTGTGGAATGCTTTTGGCCATGTAGTGTTCTTGTTGAGCACCATAGCTGTTTTATCTCCCCTCCCCATTCTTTTCATTGATATATCGAAAATACTCCTACTGAGAAATCTCGTTGTAAAACCTTACCTCACCTATTACATCAGAAGAAAATTGTTATAAAAACTGAGCCCCAAAGAAAACGAAATTTTTAAAGGTGCTCATCATAACACCTGCGTTGTACCCATGCAGTACAGGTTCTGATACTTGTTCTCAGGTGTTTAGGGCTACGAGGACCCGTAGGGATCCTCTAATGTCAACATCTCCTTTTACTCATGAGTAAGAAATGGAGACTTGGAGCAGTTAAGTGACTTGACACAATCAGTGTTAATTTTGTAAAACTTGGTGGGCATTTCCTTGTAACATTAGTAAAAAATAACTTAATTATTCTGTATATATATTTTCTTTCCAATATCCTTTTAAAGGGTAGTGAAATGTGGAATAGAATCTTACAGGTTGTATTCTTTAAAATGTTATATTTGTACTTTGGGAGGCTGAAATGAGAGGATTGCTGAAGCCCAGGAATTCAAGATCAGCCTGGGTAACATAGTGAGACCCCATCTCTGTAAATATAAAAGTAAAATAAAATGGTATATTTGAATACTACACATTGAAGATAAAATCCCCAAGTGTTATAGAAATCAAGTTTTTGCATCATTTTGCCGGAACCCTTGTTTATGCAAGTGGCTCCGTAATTCCCCTCCCCCACCTTTAATTAGAAGCAAGCATAAAGGTAAAAAAAAATTAATACGCAGCATGGTCAGAATTTACTTTCCAAAATAAAGCAAACCCATTGTACACAAAGATAACAAAGCAATTTTACATGAAATTGGTGAATATGGCTAGACGCAGTGGCTCATGCCTGGATCTCAGGACTTTGGGAGCCTGAGGCGTACAGGTCACCTGAGGTCAGGAGTTCGAGACCAGCCTGACCAACACAGTGAAACCCTGTCTCTACTAAAAATAAAAAATTAACTGGGTGTGGTGGCAGGTGCCTGTAATTCCAGCTACTCAGGAGGCTGAACCCTCGCTTGAACCTGGGAGGCAGAGGTTGCAGTGAGCCGAGATCGTGCCATTGCATGCCAGCATGGCGACAGAGCAAGACTCCATCTCAAAAAAAAAAAAAGAAAAAAGAAAAAAATATGTGAATAGAGTTCTATTCCTATAACAATTAGGTATAAATTTTGGGAAAAAAAAAAAGGTTGAAATCCTTTGTCAGTGATGCAGGTTAATTCGGCTTCTAATTTTGGATGGGGTTTCTAGACTTGCCCTTTTCTCTAAAAGAGGCTGAGGCAGGAGAATTGCTTGAACCGGGAGGCAGAGGTTGCAGTGAGCTGAGATTGTGCCACTGCACTCCAGTCTGGGCTACAAGAGCCAAACTCTGTGTCAAAAAAAAAAAAAAAAGAACCTATTATACATTAAAAAAAAAAAAAAATTGACGATCAAGTAGAGCTTATTTCAGAAACACAATAGTTCAGTATTAGAATGACATTAAGAAATGAAAATTTTAAAACTATATAATCTTTTCAGTAGCAACTGAAAAACAAGTTAATCTGCTTTTAAAAACAAAGCAAAAATTCTTAGTAATCCAGAAGTAAAAGGAGTAGTTTAAATGTCCCTGTAGAGAAACCTCTCACCTCCCCAATCCCATCAGGCCTCCCTGTACTCACCGTTTTCTGGACCATTCATTTGTAATTCCTATCACAATTGAAATTAATAAATGATTTGTACTAATTGTAAGACCATAAGTTCGCTGGGGGCAAGAACTAGTATTTAGCACAGTGCTGTCACAACAAACTCTAGCAATAAGTCTGATAGGAAATTAGCAAGACCTTCATAAATGGAGAAGAATGCTATGTTGCTTTATGGAAGAATATTAAAAAAATCAGTTGTTGCTAAATTAACCTATACATTTAATAAAATTCCTACAGAAGTCCTAACATTCATCTGGAATGGTAAAAGCTAAGCTAAGAGAAGCTAAGAAATTTTTGAAAAAAAAGAAAATGGGAATTTTCACCTACCAGATTCAAAACATACTGTGAAGCTACGGTTACCAAAACATTGTAGCACTTCCAAATGAAGGGGGAAAATGAAAAGATCAATGACATAGAATAAGAAGTCTAGAGTAGGTCGGGACGAGAATCCCGTATATGGCAAAGGTGGCATTTTAAGTCAGTGAGCAAAGGAAAGAAAACTCAACATACGATATTCAGGCAGTTGGCTACATTTTGGTGGGGAAAATAAATTTACTTCTGTACTTCACATGTTCACAAAAATAAGTCCCATAGGGATTAAATAAATAAAATGATAAAGGTAGTAGACCATAACAGATGTACGTTTCCTTATATTATTGTGCAGTAGCTTTCTAAACATTATTAGAAAACATTAAGGAAAAGACTGACAGGTATGACTACACTTCTATTCAGTAAAAACACCAAAAAGCAATATAAAAGACCAATAAGCTTGAAAAGTATCTACAGCATATAACAAAGGACCAATATCTATTTATCTATTTATCTGTAAAGAGCTTTCTTAAATGTTAAAAAAAAAAAACTAAACTAAATAAAAATAGACAAAAGACATCAGTTAGTTATCTATTGCTGCATAACAAATTGCACCAAAACTTAGCAGCTTAAAACAATGGTCATTTATTGTCTCAGACATCCCTGAGGGTCAGGATCTGGGAGGAGAGCAACCTGGCTGGGAGGTTGTGGCTCAGGGCCCCTCAGGAGGTTAAATCAATGGGCTGTAGCTATCTCAAGACCAGACCAGCACTGAAGAATCCACCTCCAATGGCACTCCTGTTGTTGGCAGGCCTCAGTTATCCAGCAGGCTGTTGGCCGGATACCTCAGTTATTTGCCACAGGGGCTTCGCCTGGGGCAGCTCACAGCATGGCCAGCTGGCTTCCTCCAGAGCCAGCCACCAAAAAGAGATGGAGACCTGGAGACCGCAGTTGCTATAACCTAATTTAGAAGGGCCATCATCACTTTTACCATATCCTATCCACACAGACCAACCCAGGCACAAGGTGGGAGGGGACTATACAAGCGCAAGAATACCAGGAACCAGGGACCACTGGAGGCCATCCTGGGGGCTCTCTTACCCCAGAATGAAAACGAGCTTCAGAACTGGGCTAGGACACAGTAGGAAAGCGGGGAGGAGAGCAAAACCAGCAACTAGATGCCTTCACTTTACACACTTCTGTATTATTTGATTTTCTTCTCTAAAATTTATAGTGTGTTCTAGTTTTATAATGTAAAAATTAAACGTTTTAAAAATATTTTTTATTAACAGGAAAGCAGAGAATGCATCTCTGGTTCTGGCTCAGTACCACCAAGTTCCCCAGCTTGTGCCAGGCTCTAGTCATGACAAGAATGACTACCCACTGAGAACCTATGATGTGCCAGGCACTGTCCTAGTCACTTAAGTATACTATTCCTTTTTTTTTTTTTTTTTTTTTGTGAGACAGAGTCTCACTCTGTTGCCCAGGCTGGAGTGCAGTGGTGCGATCTTGGCTCGTTGCAACCTCCGCCTACCGGGTTCAAACAATTCTCCTGCCTCAGCCTCATGAGTAGCTGTGACTATAGGCGCACACCGCCACTCTCGGCT